ATGATTTTTTTTCAATTTTCTCACCAAAATGGGTGGAATTTTGTTTTCCCTCTTAATACATTTTGCCTTCCCATTTTATGTTCCTTCTATTTTTGTTTTCTTTTCCTCTCTAACGAAACATGAAAGAAATTATTCTTCCTCTCATTTTCTTTTCTTTTCTCTTTCAAATTTCTTGAACCAAACATAGTATTAGTGGTTTTCAGTTTTGGACTTTCTGTACACATTATTATTGAATTTGCTAAAGAAATGATATTTTGTGCAAATGACCTAGCCCAAAGTAAGTTGACTGCACCGGGTCTTCACTTTTCAGTAATGCATTGGTCAATTGATTCACATTTTCACAATTGAAGCGTACTTTTCATCGTACAGAATACATCATGCCCCTAATGTTTGCAACATACTCCTACAGTTGCAGGGTATTTAAGAGCTCCCTCTGCCGTAATTTGAATTGTTTCATGTTATGTTGTTTACGAAGTTCGACTGAAATTATTTTCAATTCAATTTAGTGAAAAATTGCTTTCCATCATCTCCGATGGAGCCAAAATTTCACCATTTTTTTGGCTTTGAGGTGTGATGGAATAAATCAAAATGGATCTCTAAACTGTGTGCGCTTCTTTAATTAATGAAGTAGCAGTTAGTCAAGCAATGCAACTTTCGATGTTGAGCCAAGGGTCTCTTTGGAAACAGTCTCTCTACTTTCGAGTAGGGGTAAGGTCTGCATACACACACCCTCCCAGACCCTACTCTTCTGGGATTTAACTGGGTTGTTGTTGTTGTTGTTGTTTAGTGAAAAATTGGTATGGAATTAGAAAAATAAAATTTACTTATTTAAAAAACATCATCAAAAGATCTATAAAGCAAGAGTGACAAGACTATTATTATTTTATCAAATGAGTTGTGAAAAATGGATAAAGAACATAGTAAAAGTTTGATCTTGTAAATAATAGAGAGACAATTTAGATTGGAAGGAAAGGAACATTATACGAAGAACTTGAAACTCTAAACACATGGTTGTGACCTATGAGTAGTCGTCTGCAGGGGCGAATCAAAGGCCAAACCCCTGCCGCCGTTCCACCCACCGGGTTGGAGACAACCTTGAATAACATTACCATCATGATGGTGAATGTCATGGAGAAGCTGGACTAGGCACTTACGGGTCCCTCTAGCATCCCACGTGGAGCTGTCGACGAGCCATGGCAAGTGTTACACACTGTAGGGCAACACTCAGGGCCAATTCTAGAACAACTCCATGATCGAGGGGAGATGGACAAGGAACGTGAGGCTATCAACCGATGCCTGGAGGCAGAGCTGTTCCGAAATACAAGGGAGAACCAGACTGCGACCTAGAGGGAACCGTGGACAACGATTTGGAACACCCAATAGCCTGGTTCATTGGCCAACCATGTGATTTGGAGACTAGGAACCCGAGAAGGCCACAGTGTTCGGAAGGTTGTCACAAGGACAGATCGCTGTGAGGCTAAGGCCAAATTCGCGAAGTGTTTCCAGCGGGTGGGCACGACCGCAGGGCAGCCAAGTGGAATCATCTCTTTGGTAACCTCACCCATGGGGTTGGTTCATGGGGAGCACGTGTGGTTCCAAGAAATCTTGTAATTGAAGAAGAGGATGTTGTTCAAAGTCGGCCCAAGGTCTCAACACAACAACGCCCGGTACCGGTAGGGCGAGAAATGGAGGATATCTAGGATCTACGTTAGCAAATCCAGGACATGCAGTTAAATGTGAACCTGGGTTGGGTATTCACTACCCACACAAATACTCCTTTTGCCCCAGAAGTATTGGGGGACCCATACCTTATGGGTTTCAAGGTTCTCTTTATCAAGAGATATGATGGGGAGTGTGATCCCTAAGAGCATGTGAATAGTTATGTCTAGATCCTGCGTTTAGCTGGGGCCACAGATGCTTTAATGTACCGCTCTTTTCTAAAAAGAGTGGATAGCAAGTTGGCAAACTGGGTCAACCACATCCTTTCAAGATCCTTCAGGAGATACGATGACATGGGGTTACGATTCTTGGGGCAGCTTATAGGAAACTGCCAGCCTAATAAACATTATTCCCACCTTGCGCCCATACGGAAGAAGTGCGGTGAATAATTGACGAAGGTTTTAGCCTGATGGATGAAGGAATCTCAGGAAGTGGAAGCGCAAATGACAAGTCCAGGTTTGCCATGTTCACAGCAGCACCATAAGGACTCCTGTATACCGACCTCACAACCTACCCTCTAGACTATTTTGAAGAAGCAATGGTCCAGGCCAGGTTGTTCTTGACCCTAGAGGAAAGGGGAAAAGAAAAGAAGGTCGAGAAAACTCCTAGGGAGAACAAAGATAATTCTGGGGGGGCGGGGGTAAGAAAACTTTTAAGAACAAAAAATAGGGTTTCCTAGAGGGGCCAAAGGGACAATTTACCAAACCTTCCAGGGTTTCAAAGCCCCATAACTTGGTGTTCATTATCCGGGAAGCTGAGGTGATGGCTCACGCATCCCAACAAGGATTAATGACTTATCCCACTTATTAAGAGAAGGTTTGTAATGTGGAGACCACTGAGAAACTGTGTGCCTACCACTAGAAGAATGATCATAACACCGAAGATTGATATACCTTGAAGAATGGCTAGGCTTATCTGGATAGGGCATTTGAAGAAAGATGTCCAGAACTAGGCAGAGGAGGAAACGCCTGGGTTCTGGACATGGAAGCGGAAAAAAGATCAAGTGGCTCAGATTGAGCCCCATAAGAAGAGGCATATCGACCTAGATGATGAAGAGGAGGATTCTTAGCCCGTGTCAAATTGGTAAAAAAAGGCACCACAGATGCAATTACATCATCGATGAGAACAATGGAGGAGATTCTGCCAGTAGCCAGAAAATAGGCCAATGGGTCTTTGGTCAACAAGTTGATTCCTCCATTCCAGCCTGAAGGTATGAAGGTCAAAACTGAACCCATTACCTTTTCAAACATAGATCTGCCTGAAACAAGGGTCCCTCATTGGTACGCCCTTATATCATGGTCGATATCATGGGCTTATTAATCTACAAAATATTGGTGGATACGGGAAGTTCTGTGAATATCATCTATATGGATTCTTTTAAGATAACCATTTCAACATTAACTAAACATTCAAAGTATATGCCCAAACTAGTTCGGATCCAGGGTCCGAGCCTTAACTCATACTATGAAAAATAATTAAATTGACATTATATTAAAAACTGAAAACTTATAGCCTCCGAACAAGCAAAATAGAACTGATCTAGAGTTGAAATCTCCGAAAACACTTCCAGACTAACTACTACTACTAAACTATAAGCTAAAATTAAAATGGAATGAGGAAAAAAAGCTCAATGGCTTGGAGTTGGATGCTTGGAATGGGGAGATCTGCGTTGCTTCTATAGGCAGGGAGAGCTAGGGCGTCCAATTATGGACGCCCAAACTTTGGACAACCCAACTTTTGGTCCAAACAGTTTTTTCCATGTGTTAGTTGTTTCGTCAATTGCAAGCTGGTCAGGGCATCCAACTTGGACGCCCCCACCTCAAGCATAGGCTTCTGCTCGGGTTTCAGCTCAATTTTGCCCAGTTTCGTCCTTTTGGTCCCTGAAAATTGATTTTGACTTCTCAGAAGCTCGTTTAAACACAATCTTGGTCCTTTAATGATTGATTCCTTTTTTCTCAAATATTTGAATAGAAAATGAATGATTTAAGCTCATTTAATATGGAATCCCTTCTTACGACTCTTAGAACGAAAACAAGAGTTTAATCATGGAAAACACATTTTATAAGATAATTAAGTACTAGTTACGTTGAATAACGTTTAGAATATGAAGAAATGGATAAGAACAAAACGAACTTATAAAATTCCGCACACTTAAACGTTTCCTGCCCTTAAGCAACAAATTTAATTACTTAAAGTAGTAAGGCAAATTAATGATCACAAAGAAAAAGTTTGAGGTGCATATTATGTAGCAAAGAAGAAGCAACAAGATAGTCATGAACCTTTTGTTTAAAACAAATGAACTTCTAGACTCTCACCCATATTGTTAAAAATGTTGATGTGTTTTGTCAAACTAATATTTTTGCACCAACATAAACAACCAGAACCTTTTAAACTTTTTTGGGAGAAATAATGTTAGTAAAAGTAGTTTAGGATCAAAGAGCTTTAATGGCTAAACAAAAAACAAGTTCTTGCAAGAATTATTATCAAAATGTAAGCTATTTATTTTCTTGAGCGTAACCTTGTCATGTTAACATGGGAAAATTTTTTATCCTCATCTCGTGGCATATATAGAACCACGAGCTTTTTGGAAAGATTTCTATCCTCATCTCATGACATAGAACCAAGAGCTTTTTGGAAAGATTTCTATCCCAATATCATGACATAGAACCACAAGCTTTTTGGACAGGCACTCCGGAAAGTCTCATCACGCGACATAAAACTGCATGTTTTTTAGTTTAACACTCAAAAGGCCTCATCATGCGACATAAAACTGCATGCTTTTTGTCTTACTCACTTAGTCTTATCAATTGAGATAGAACAAACTGTTTTTTTGTCACCCCTTATACCTTGAGAAAAACTCTTTTACAATAAAAGATTTTCAATAAAGCAATTAAAAGTGATTCATCTTACAAATTCTTAGTAAAATTTGAATTCATCCCAAATCAAACCACATTTCCAAAAGGTTAGAGTAAAAATATAAGTTTGATAAAAAAAATTAAAATTTTCCAATTTAAATGGGTGATAACATTAACAAAACACATAAGGTTGATGACAATTTTATAAAATCTTTTGTAAAAAATATATAGACAAAACAATTTTTAAAAACATCATTTCAACCATAAACTCTCGCCTCCTCACAATTAAATGGAACTGCACCCTCGCGGTTAAAAGTGACTGGAATTAGAATTTATGGTTGAAATGTCCACATGCAATTACTAGGCTGTCCTCACACTTAAAAATTTCAACTCTGAATATTGAAATAACAAATAATCGTAAAATAAAAATATGAAAACATCCCCACATGTGTTCACAAGAAGCATAACAAAGATTTCCATTTTAAATCAAATCAATCACCAAAGTCAAGTTCAAATATTAAGATGTAATAATCAGCAAAAAGAAAAAGTAGGGATCACACAATCCCTAACGTCCGACATTGTTTACTCCTCTTGACCACGAGTAGATGCATGGCCACCTCCGCAATATTGAACATACTCCATGATCGTGGCTAAAAGTTCCCTCTGTGCCATTGGTTGTGCCTCAATGCTCTGAAAGCGAAACTGAATGGAAATATCGAGTTCTGCAACATCATTCTGCTAGCTCCTTGAAAGATGTGGGAACACAGGGAGGTGGTGGTGCCATAGCTGTTGGAGTGCCTACTCTAGATGAACTGCCTCGGAAAGCCTCCCTAAACATACTATCCTGCCTTCGTAATCCCATGCTGATCAGATACTCAACTAATGCTCTGAACATACTGTGGGCCTCTAGTATGAGCTTTGGAATGACCATATCTGGCTGCAATCCTCTGGCGAGCAGAGTAACGAGGGGTCCACACACCATGAATGGACAGTCACTTATATACTGGTCATATTGGAATCATGCTAAAAATGTTGCCAAATTCACCGATGTGCGAGTTTCCAAACTCTAGAAAAAAGGTAGATCCGCCTCACATACAACAATTGCATTGTCGCCAAAACAGCTAGTAGCCAAGGAGTGGCTCAAGATTCTCCAAGAATTTCTCAAAACAATTTCAAGGGACTTAACCCACGATCGAACATTGCATGGCCACAGGAGTGAGTTCGCCAGAATGAGGTGACATCAAACTCAAGATCAAATTTGTCAGGTAGAAAGGCAAAATCAGCGCTAAGGGTCTCATCAAATGTGTACAGCCCAAACAACCAGACAAGATCAACAATAGTGATGTCAAACCTCTTTCCCAACAAGGTGTACAAAATTCTTGAAATGGAGATGATATCGGCAGCCGATCGTGCACGTGCTCCACCACTGAAAAAACTACAAGGAAAAGGGGGACTCTACAGTGAGCTCCAATCTCGGCAGGGCATGCACAAATAGTAATATCCTCAATTTAGGATCATAGGGGAAGCCATCAACACCTTGCTAGTAACCTAACTCGTCAAGGTTTGCTGAATCTACGACCATTGGGGGTTGTAAGAACCGTGTCCCCCTAAGTGCGGAATCTCTTCCTTGCTTCTTCAATATGAAAAGCAACCTCAATTCCTTGCAGGGTACGTCTCAGCTGCATGTGGGGCGAGAGCATTCTTTCCATATCCATCTGCAAAAACAAATAAAACAAAACAAGTGAACTCTTGCCCCCAAAATTGGTGCGGCAAGCATAATAACCTCAAAAACTATTTTTTTTCTTTTGAAAAACGGGTTGCCTCCCGTTAAGTGCATCATTTACATCATTAGCTTAAGGTTAAGCCACTTTTACTGTGACTTCCCAATCTGAGAGTCCTCGGTAAGACTCATCAGAAGTTCTTCCCAACGTTTTTGGATACAACTATCCTCTGGGTAGACATAGTCACACTCGCCAAGTAGAGAGTCAAAGAAAGTTTGGTCTGAAACTTTTGGTGAAGAATCATTTGTAGAAGTTTCTATACACGGAGTTGGCTTTTTGTGCACGTTATTTCCTTGTCTATAGATTCCTCAGATTCTTCAATTTAAGAATCTTATGGGTAGGTTTTGGGCTCTATTTCCTCTGGAAACGGTCCCTCTGAAGGTGTGTCTTCATAACAGTTTAGAAGAGGGTAGTCTATTGCCACACGCACAAGTCCTCTATTTTCTTCTTCGATTGGGGATTGTGTAGGTGGCTCTGAGTCATGTCCATTAGTTGGTTCCACCTCATGTACCACATGGCTTAGAGGGTATTTGGGTACCAACACCACTGTGGCCCGAGCAAGCACTTGAAGAGTCATAATGCACTTGGATGTCATGATTGATTGGTTTAGAGTTGGTCTTATGTTCTAGAGCCTCTTCTTGAGCAATAACTTCCCTCATTTGAGTTTGGAGGGAATGCTTATGCTCTATAGCCTTCCTTAGATTGTTGAGTAATTTCTCACTTTGATCTTCTACTTCTTATCTCTCCTTTTGAAAGTCTTCCTACATCTTATGCATCAGATCATATCCTTCACGAAATGCTCTTTCAAATTCCTTTTCCTTCTAGATTTTTTCAAGAAGATATTCTCTTGCCTGGATTGCATATCTGTTTACCTCAATTTGCTCTTGGCAAGTCAGAGAGTAATCATGGAAATTTGGTGGTTCTAATGAGGAACTCTCTGTGGCTGATTCTAGGTCAAGATTACGTATTCTTTCCTTAGTCTAGAATATTTCTTCAATTAGAGGATCTGGCTGGTAATCGTACATCTGCCTTGTGTTGTCCTAATCTTTTTCGATTGCCATAAGGTTCATAATAGTAATTCCCATCAGTGTCTTGGTATGGAGAATACCCAAAGTTCCTAGACGGGGTGTCTTATGGTGGTTCCTCGTGGTAAGGGTAATAGTAAGACCCATTGTTTTCTTGGTAGTCACCATAATAAGGATCGTGATGTGGATAATATGGTTGGTGGGGTGTTTTATATGGAGTGCGGTTGGGTGATTGGTAGTAAGAGGGCAGTACGTAATAATCATTAGGATAATCCATAATAATTACTACAAGTGGTTAGTTGTTGAGGACTTGTCGTAAGGTCCAAAACAAATTAAAAATTTATAAAATATCCTTAACTAACCCCCAATATATAATCAAATAAAAACTATAGCTAGGGCAAGTAAGGGTCGATCCCACGGAGAAAGTTTGTACTTTTGAAATCAAATTAGCATGCAAACACGTTGTCACGAAAATAAAACAAATAAAAGCAAACTAACTAGTACACGTATGATAAGATGTATAAAACTTATAATAAAACTTATAACTAAATAAATATAAAAATTACAAATATAACGTATATAAACAGAGAACTTATAATATAACCTAAACACAACACAAAAGGGGGGGTTGAATAAAAAAATAAATATTTTTTTTGGTTTTTTATTTTTCTAATATTTTTGGTTTTTTTGATAAAATGGGGGAAAACAAGCTCAAAAGATAATCAACTTTTCCAACTTAGGTAACCCAAGAAACACCGCCAAAAACCCGAAACAAAATTAAAAAGAGAACGAACACAAAACGAACATTACACGTATAATAGGCACGTAGACCATAGATTACGTAACTTACGCACTTAAGAATAGGAAAAATCAGTCAAAGGTAGAGTCGATTCATTTCCTTAACCACGATATGGAGGATTGTCAACTCTCTACACGGCCCGGAGTCATGTAATTCAAGAATTTCATAATGAGGCAAATCAAGAACCACAACTCACCAATCAAGCATGAAAACATACTTCCATTATAGAAAAAGTTTATAAAAGAGCGAATTTTTCTTCATTCTAACTCTCATGCATAATCTATTCACAAACCGCCAATACCTTATGCATTTTAATAAACCTTTTCTCCTAATGATGAGCACATTTCACAGATTTCTATGAACTTCTCAAACCAATGACGTTTTCTCTATTCACATAGATGAACACAACATATTTTCAATAAATCAGGAATTGTTTTTGAGCTTAAACAACCTTAATTTTATGAAAATAACGAACAAACATACGAAAACATAACAATCACTTAATAACGAATTCTAAGAAAAATGAATCAACTTATGGGGCTAAGAAATCCAAAATTCTTAAAATCAACGAACACAAAGCACAAAAAAGATTCACGTATGAACTCGGAGTTCATTTAACTATCTTATGGAGCTAAAATAGCTTCAACAAAAACCGAATTCCACATACCAACCTACTTATGAAATCGAATTATACAATTCAACCAATTTAACAACAATTTGCTCAATAATTGAAGAAAAACTAGTTTGAATCAATTCTCATTCATAAGGGATTTAATATAAACATAAAAAAAACCCATAAAGAACACCAACCATTTTTGTGTTGTGGGTCCAGCCCATTTTCATTTGGGTTCCATTTTTCTTTGTGGGGGTCCAATAGTAGGAAAGTTTTTCCTTTACTTTGTTGACTAACAAAAAGGAGAAAAAAGGGCTGGGCAGTGGTGGACTTACGGACAGAGCAGAAAAGGAAAAAAACAGAATAGAGAGAGGAAAGGTGCTGGTGCAGAATTTATAGACCAGCCGCACAAATTCGATCATCGCCTGAGATCGGACCGTTGGATTGAGCTGAAATTTTCAGAGATTGTTCCCAACACTTAGGGCTTCAATCTGTTCAATTTTCACATCAATCGGAGCTACGGATCTTCTGTAATCGCAGCTGGTGCGACGCTGCGTTTTTGGGTGATATCTCTGATTTTTCTTCTCTCTTGTTGATGGCTCTTATGTATGTTGTTGTTGGTGGGCTGTGACATCCTTGTAGACTGAGTTTGGGTGTTTTTACCCTCAATTTGCATAATAAGAGAAGAAGAGGGCGGACTCCCTATAAGTCCCGTGGTTTTTATCCTTCACATCGAAGGGGTTTTCCACGTATAAAAATCGTGTGTCGTTTGCATCTTTATTCTTCATATTTG